AAAACGACTGGTCATATTTGCCAATACTAAGATTTGAGCTTCAGAGAAAAAGTGAGAATTTTGAAAGATTGTACCCACCACTTTGAGCTGGACAACTTCTGTGTACCTACAGGCTTTCCATATGAGATAGGTAGGATATTAATAAATGTGATTTTTTTTAAGTTATGTAATAAACTGTATCAATATTTGGAAGATCTACAAAACTTAATGATATTTGGAAGAACTCTAAAACATCTAACCAATGTATGACATTACAACCGTATCTGTACAGAAGATCCATCAACAGACCAAGATAGACTAGTGGGTTTCATGTAAAAGAGTCCAAAAGATCTTTGATGAGGTTTTAGATTCACATTGTGAAAAAACCTTTAAGAAACAATTACTTACTGAGTTTTGATGTAGTATCAAAAAGAACATCCATAATTAGGCCTGGCTGGTGTAGCTCAGTGGATTGAGCATGAGCGGGTAAACCAAAGGATCTCCGGTTCGATTCCTAGTCAGGGCACGTGCCTGGGTTTTGGGCCAGATCCCCAGTAGAGGGCATGCATGAGGCAGCCATGCATTGATATTTCTCTTCCTCTCTTCCTCCCTCCCTTTCCCTTTCTCTAAAAATAAGTAAGTAAAATCTTTAAAAAAATATATCCATAATTACCAAAAAGGTATTAAAATATTCTTCCCTTTTCTAGTTACATATCTGTATGAGGCTAGATTTTCCTCATATACTTTAACCAAAACAACATGTTGCAACAGACTGAATGTAGAAGCAGATAGGAGAATCCAGCTGTCTTCCACTAGAGATTTGCAAAAATGTAAAATAGTGCCTTCATTTTCACTAAGTTTTTTTTGCGTAAGTGTAATCATATTTCATAAAAAATGTTATGTGTGTTAATATATAATTAGCTTATTGCAATAAGTAAATAAGATTTTGAAACTTCTCAAAAACACAACTTGGGATGCTCAGTAGGTTAAACAATGTACAGGGATCCGAGATCAAAAAAGTCTGAGAATTGTTGTGTTACCTAAGTGGAAAAATGTAGTGGTCAGAATATGATTATCAAGTGTTTTCTACAACCTGTTGATATTACATTTAAATAATAATTCCTGGTGATTTTTGTCAAGTCTTACACCTTAGTATTCCAGAGATATTCATGCAGCCAAGGAATTTTTAATTTGTTCTGAATGCATAGTAATGCCAGACAGAGACTGTATTAGACTGTGGGAGTTACAAAAAAATGAATTAAATCTCACTTCTGTACTGTACAAGCTGACAGTCCCAGAATGGGTGGACGGTGGAAATGTCCACATTAGTCATAGCAGATTATTATCGTCTGACAGTGTGGTGCCAGCCACAAAAGGATCATTCCGGAAGAAAGGGAGCCGTGTGGCAGCAGGGGAGGAACGTTTAATTTAATGTAGAGTTTGGATGCTGTCAAAAAAGGGCAGGATGGTGATTGTTGTGTTGTTTTCAGGTACAGCTGGACACTGGCAATTTCCCATGAAGCCTACTTCTTGTCTTTCATCTTTAGTTCATATTCTGACCGTTTTTCTGTTGGCTACAGCCAGTTCTCTGTAAAGGGTTGTGTTGCTAACTGCCTCTTTGTATCTTGGACCTGAAAAGTATTTCTGCCATTTATCCTATATTTGGGAGTTCCTGGATATGGTAGCTAATGCCAATGTCTGCATCTAGCTAGGACCCTAATCCCGCTTCAAAATAAATGTTGTATCTCTTAGTGTGAAATCCTAATATTTAAAAGTTGCATATGTCTGAGAAATGCTTTGTTGTAAAAAATTATTTTAAATGTTTTTAAAAAGGTTCTTTGTTTTACCTTTATTTTGTACTTTTTACCTACTCGTCTTCTAGTAACCTTCATGGATATAAATGTAAAAGAGAGAAACTGTTTCCAGTTTAGGCCCTTAAGATATCCCAACACACTTTTTTGTCTAACTGTATCATTATTAGCAGTATTAGTAATTATTAGCCTCCATTTTTACATAGATTGGTAGTTCTATTCAATAAGGTATTTAGGGGGTTTTATTATTGTGACATATTTTTAAGCTAAATATTATATTGGCTTATTAAAATATTAAATATTTTTTAAAGAAAAATAACAATGTTTCTTTTTTAAAAAGAAAAAAAATAATGTTTTATTTTTAAAACGAGCCAGGAATGTTTGTCTTGAATTATGAAGGACTTAGCAGAGTGTGTACAATGGTGGGGTAATGCTTTCATATAACCAACCACTTGAGAGGGTTGGCATAATATAGATCTTCTAGAACAACTTGAGTGGAGCTGTGGGTACAAATTACTGGATGGGCTTTGGCTGAAGCTTTCTGAGACGACACATTTTGGCTGAACTTACAAGTAGGCAGGCAAGCATTTGGAAAGTATTTAAAAATAAAGGAGAGAGCTTTTGGCAGCTGTTTTGCTCATAGCTAGTTACGAAACAAAGGAACATGTTAGAAGGGAAATTGGTAATACCAACTGCTTGTTTTTCTTAAAGCAGTACTGGTGATTAAAATAGCCTCCTGGCCTATTGGTTCTCCTACATACCTCTTAAAACAGCTTCTTGTAATTCCTGCAGAAACCAGCTAGAACAGCCTTATCTTCTAGCTTCTGTTTTTCAACACGTCATTTGCCTACTGAAGATGTGAAGATGCCTTATATTTTAAAGGCAGCACTTCATGCAAGCTTTGTCCCTCTCTCTCAGCTTGCAGCCTCTGCGGGGCTTCACTCCTACTTGGGAAGTCTCCTGTTGTGCTTATCGTCTCCTTTAGAGGTCTCTTTGGAACTTAACCATTTCATGGACTTCTCCTGAAGCCTGCCAAATTGTGACCACTCCCCTGATCAGTTTTGTACGGTTCCTCCTGAAATGTTTTGTGCTCATGAATACAGTGATTAGACCTGTTCTGGTGTTGTGGGGATGGATGCTACCTCCCCTGGTAGATGGGTTCTAAATTTGTAAGTACTGGACATATGTCTTTTCTTTTTGTTACTTGTCTCTGCTTTGTCATATCTACTGGCAGCCTTTGCCAAAATAAGAATCTTCATGAGAAAAATTCCTGGCTTAAAAGAAGAAATACTGGACCCAAGGCCTTGGAAGGAAAAATAGTTTTTCAAAATTCATTTTAATAACTTCAGACATAACAGAGGGGGTATCAGGTCCATGGGAGAAAAATCAAGAGACAGGCTTCCTCTCTGATCCTTTGCTGTTTTATAATGAATGCTCCTCAGCTCAGTCCAAGACAACAAGCTCTCACTGAACAGTTCTCACTGTGCAAAAGTCTTCTCCTCAGCACTAGTGACAACTCAGTGGTGACTGTGAACAAAAAGAGACTTGTCACAGGGCACAGAAAGGGCTTCCTACTATCACAGACAGGCTGCTGGGTACTGTGAGCTCCGGGAGGGCATGACCTGTATTTCTTTGTTCTCCACTGTACCTCCAATAAGAGCCCTGTGCAAAGCCTGGGACAAAATAGATATTTGGTGAATGTCTCATTGAAGGAGTCAAAAGAGGAAGGACATCCATACTTTTGTGGGTGTGTGGAATGAGATGGGGAGGACATCAAGAAAGGCTTCTTGGCAATAGTGTCTTTTAAAAGGAACCAGATGGTTAGGACTTGGAGCCAGTGAGGGTAGACAGTGCAAGTGCAGGAAGAATGGCAGAGACCGCTTCTCTCTGGGTTCTGGCCTAGTTTGCAGGAACATGGCTAAGTAAGTGCACCAAGAAGGCCCAAATCGTCGGTAAATAGGGGACTTGTCATGGTGCCTCTTTCAGGGAAATGCTGAAGAAAAGTGAAATCAGCTAGCATGCCAAGTTCACTTGCCCATTTTGTGGCAAAACCAAGGTGAAGGAGAAACCAAGGTGAAGGAGAAACCAAGGTGAAGAGATGAGCTGTGGGCATCTAGCACTGAGGTTCCTGCGTGAAACAGTAGCCAGTGGTGCCTGTACCCACAGCACCACCTATGCTGTTCTGTCTGCCATCTGTAGACAAGGGACTGAGAGACCAGTAGAAGCTCCACAATATGAAGCATTGATAGCTTTAATAAATGAGTTAATTCATGTAACAAAAAAATAAAAAAGAATGGCAGAGACCAAAATGAGATGAGCTCTTTCACCTCTGAGACCTGTTGGGCTCATTTCCTCACATCTTTTAATCACTGCTCAAGTTTCACTTTATTAATAAGACCTTTTGTGACTGTCCTGTATAAAGAACTATAAAAATATTTTATCGTTTGCCATCTATTTTAATTCCTTGGCCTTTATCATCATCTGACTTATTTGTCTGGTTTTTTTTTAAAGATTTTATTTATTTACTTTTTTAGAGGAGAATGGAGGGAGAGAGGGAGAGAAACATCAATGTGTGGGGTTGCCTCTTGCACACTCCCTATTGGGGACCTGGCCCATGACCCAGGCATGTGCCCTGACTGGGAATTGAACAGGTGACTCTTTGGTTCACAGGCCAGCACTCAATCCACGAGCCACATTAGCCATGGCTGGTTCTTTTTTCCTTATGTGAATTAGAATACAAATTCTAAGAAGGCAAGGATGTCATACTGTTCATTGCTTTATCCCTAACACCTAAGATAACTTCTGGCTTATAGTAGGTACTTAATAAATATTTGTTGAATGAATGAATGAGTGAATGACCCACTGTGTGTGCTGGGAACTATAAATTACCTGGTGTATATTTTAATAAGAGTTATTGTAAGGCATCCTGAGGTGTTTTGAAAAGAAGCCTCTATTGGAACTATAGTGTAGGCACATGCCTCTCTTTCTGGTGTGGACGGAAGATGGTAAAGGTGCTCACAACAGGAAGCTGCAGCACCAGGGTTTTTAGGAGGAAAAGGTGCAAAGATGTGTGCTGGATAGAACAGCATTAGAAATAGTGGATTCTTCCTGAGTTACACCTCTTTTATGTGAAGTAAATTACTTTCCTTGAAAAATATGTGAACGTTTGTCATAACTATTTGCTAACCAACTCTACTCTATTCCTGACAGGAGGCTGAACAGTACCCAGGGGGAAATTCGTGTTGGTCCTAGCCATCAGGTAAAGTGCATTTTAGTAGATTCTTTAATAAGGTTTTTAAAAGATTTTATTTTTTTTTTATTTTTAGAGAGAGGGGAAGGGAGGAAGAAGGGGAGAGAAACGCCAATGTGTGGTTGCCTCTCACACACTGGGGACCTGGCCCACAACCCAGGCATGTGCCTGGACTGGGAATACAACCCTTTGGTTCGCAGGACAGTGCTCAATCCACTGAGCCACACCAGCCAGGCTTTAATAAGTTTTTAGTTCTTATTATTCTGCTGGCCTTTTTATTCTGTTGACTAGCAACTTATAAATGGAGAGTTTTTTCCAGATTACCTCATACTTACATTTTTTAATTATGGTAAAATATACATAATGTGAAATTTATCGTTCTAATCATTTTGAAGTATCCAATTAAGTGGCATTAAGTACATTCATATTGTGCAGTCACCCCCCCCACCACCACTTTCCAGACCTTTTTCATCTTCCCAAACTGAAACCATACCCATTAAACACAAACTCCCCATCCTTATTCCCCTCAGCCCCCGGCAGCCACAATTCTACTTCCTGTCTGTATAAATGTTCTTACTCTAGATATCTCACATCAGTGGAATCACACAGTACTTGTCCTTTGTGTCTGACTTATTTTGCTTAGCATATTGTCTTCAGGGTACATCCATGTTGTAGCAGGTGCTGGAATTTAACCCCTTCCTGAGGCGGAATAGTCAGCCCATTGTATGTGTATGTCATATTTTGTTTATCCATTCACCCTCCAATCAACATTTGGTTACCATTCTTTTATTTTAATTTTGTAAAAACTCTTTTCTTCAGACAAGTCAAGAAGGTTAGGATCGTGGCAGCCAGAGCTTGTGTTGGGACCTGTGCCCTCTGTTTCATTCAGGTGACCAAGACTCTGGAGCCATGTTGGTTGTCTCTTGCTTTGGTCTGTCAGCTAGGGTGCTGTGATGGACAGGAGCAGAAGACTCTGGCTACACTTGGCTATTTATGGTCCTAGATACCATCACACCCTGGTCAGACAGGACCAGGCTCTCCTGGTGCTCAGCTGTCCCCTACAGCTGGCTTCCTCCTTAGGCTGGCCGCCGACTTTCACTAGTTCTAAGATATACTTCTTTCTTTCACATTTTGTCGTCTTTGATAGACTTCACTGTACATTCTGTGGTGTGATTATAATTTAATGAGCAGCATTTCTCCTTTTTCAAATGCATAAAATAATAGTGGATCTTACAGTGAGTGAAATACAGCAAATATTGAGAGGAGGAAGCAAGGAAAATTCTCCCAAAGGTCTCCCTTAGTCCTCATGTCTCATTGACGTGGATTGGGTCACGTGTCCATTTCTAACCATGAGGAAAATGGGTTTCAGGTGATTGGCATGGACTGTCATTTGAGTTTGAATGGATGTTGGGGAGTCAGCCACTATGGGCAACATATGGGGAGATGTGAGATACAGGCAACTCCTTAAAGGTATAGTAGTCTACCTGGTCAGTCATTTTTCTGTCTCATTTTGAGTTTTTCCTCTATCTTATTCATATTTTTAAAAACCTGTATTAAGTCTGTAATGAGAAAGAAATTAAGAAGTAAAGGAATATTAAAACCAAAACACAGAAGCCATGAGGGGCACCTAATTACTAGAAGAAACTTTTCATCGCAGAACTAGGGTTATAACTGAGACAGGCAGAAAGAAGCTGCAGGAGGACAGTCCCTTTAATATCTGCCTTTTTCAAGTACAGTAAGTTCTCATTTGATTTGTAGATGGGTTCTGCGACTAAGTGAAATGATGTGTGACGAAACCTCTTATACCATAGGCTGGTTGATACAAACAACAGTTAAGTCCCTATGGCATCTCAACGTTATAATTAAATGACATTGAAGGAAAGGACCTGCAATACCGTTTTTGTGGTGTGGCCTATTAGACAGGGCTGACTACCATCTCTCCACTGTGCTGTCTTTGCCTTCAGGCCTCGGAGTCGGATTTTAACTAGGGAGTTCAGTACTAGCGAGGTACCACTTGATTGCATCTCCTTCTTTCTGCTCTCCTCCCACTGTAATTTTCATACCTAATTTTCTTCATGTGTTTCCAGTGTCTTGAGATCCTTTGAACTAGAGTTTTATTTTACAGAGATTTTTCTCTACCATAACAGAAAAAGTGGTTTTCTGTTATGCTTAAGTTTTTGGAAATGAAGAGACTTACTATGCTTGGATTTTTGTAGACTTTCGTTTGAAATGAGATATTTTATATCAGATTTGAAATATATCCTGTGTGTTTTATCTTCAAAATGAAATGTTTGGACTTCCAAATATAATAGGACCTTTTTATGAATTGGCAACATTTACCTTCTTAAAATTTTTAATTTTGTTATTAGGTAAAATACTAATATATGCAGAAGTAGAGAAAGATTAGTATAATAAACCCCTTTAATCCATTTTACTCAGCTTTTACACATATTATAGTAAAACTTATTTAATTTATTGTTTCTCACACTTCTCCCACCATTAGTTTGAAATGATTCAGAATTATATTATTCATTTGTAAATATCCTAAAGACCTCTTCTGGAAAACAATCACAATATTATCACACCTAATAAAAATGAACAATTTCTAATACTCATGTGTCCACCACTATGTCCAGATTTCCCTCATTTGTGTCTCTTGCTTTGTTTTTGTCTTTGTTTTTGTTTTTAACAGCTCAAATTGTAATCTAAATAAGAACCATGCATTACAGTTGGTTGATATGTCTCATAAATTTCTTTTAATTCATGTTTCCCATATTTCTCCTCCCTCTCCTCAGTGTACGTGTTGAAGAAGCAGAATGTTCTTTTTTTCCTGCCAGGAGTTATCTACTCCTGGCAGGAATAGTTCAGGGTGGTGTTCTGTATATCTACCAGAGGCATGTGTGTGTGTCTCTGTGTGTGTGTATTTTAACGACAATTTGCAGCCTTTCCTTGTTACTTAAATCCACTGTTTAATTAGTGATCTCAACATGGTGATATTCTAATTCTACCATTCCTTGATTTATTAGCTAATTATATGAAGCCTCCTCCTGAACTATTTGATTCCCTGGATCACATAGGAAAGGCAAGATTAATGTTTGACTCTCCCCTCTGTTTTCCAGTTTTCAAGTATGGAGTTATTTCCCTAACATCTTCCAGTGGTGACCAGTAGATTTAAAATTATTATCTGCTAACCAGCTGCAGTTATTCTTATTTATTGAGGATTAAATTATCTATTTGGGGAATAGATAGGAGCCTCTTCCTGTTGTCTTCTGTGTCCTTTTGACTCAACCCTGGTGGACTTTGGTATGTTCCTCTTACCTGGTATGACATGACTGTAATGTCTCATCTCCCACATTAAACTTTTCTCATTGTAATCCTCATTGTTTCGGTGGGAAGTGACTTTTTTCCCACTGGCTGCTGGGGTGTTGGCTCCTATTTCCAGGCCATTTCAGGGGACGGATTAGGATATATATGCTTTTGCTTTCCATTTTTTAAAAGGTAAAATGTATCATGTCTTCTTTCTGATACTTCAAATTCAGTTTTTTATGTAGACTTGTATTAGTTTTCACCCAAATCTGTTTTTCTCATGTCTTCTCCTGTTTTGAAATAACAACAACATAAGTATTTAATCCCATATAATACATATATAACAGCTCCGAATAACAATACTCACACTGATACAAATAAGATGATTATTAGAAACAGTTTACTATTATGTAAGTAGCTTACTTTTCCCCCCCTTAGAATATGCCCCACTAGGACTGTATAGGCAAAGTAGTACATTTTAAAGTTACTCGATACAGTTCCTGAAGAGGAACCAACTCAATGCACAGTTAGGTGCATTTGTTTCATTTTGTTTCAGAGTTTATAAGGGATTTTTGTTTTTTAAAACTTGATTTTGTTTTTATAATTGTGTAAAAGGCACAGCATATATAAGTCAAACATATAAACAAAGTGTGTTCCAAAGTCTCCCTCCCATGTTCCCTCTCTTCCTGATGGATAATCATTGTTTTTGTTTTTTACTGTGAGGTTACGGTTTCTTATTTATATTTCCCCTACCTTGTGTTCCTAGGTAAATGGTAGCATAATATACACATCTGTACCCCCTTTCTTTATCTTCTAACAGTACAGCAGCACATAGTTTCCTCATTTCCTTCCCCACTTCACGAAACTCCACTGAGTGGCAGTAATAGTTCATTCTCCAGTCCCTGTTCGTGGATATTTGGGCTGCTTCCGGTCATTTGCTGTTACAAGTAATGCTGCAATAAATAGCTTGCACATACAGATTTTTATATTTTTGCCAACACATCTTTGGGACATATCCCTAGAAAGGGGTTTGATGGGCTTAGAGGGCAAGTGCACTTGTAATTCTGAGGACATTATAAAATTCCCTTCCATAGAGGATGTACCATTTTGCATTCCTACTGGCAACATAGCCTTGTGTATTGTCACACTTGGAGAGTTATGTCAACCCGACAGGTGGGAAATGGTATCTCACTGTCACTAATTTACATTTCTCTTCTCATCAAGGTAGCCCATCTTTTCCTACAATTGAGAGCCATACGCTTTTCCTTTTCTGTAAACTGTCAATCATTATATTTCTAGCCCATTTTCCTCTAGGGGGCTTGGTCCCTCCAATAATAGCACTTTTTAATTACTTTAACAAACAGCCCTTGGAATCTACTAGGTACTGTACCTGGTACTGGGGAAGCAGAGCTCAGTACCAATGTTAAAGTTTTTTTTTTAAGATTTTATTTATTTATTCTTAGAGTGAGGGGAAGGAAGGGAGAGAAAGAGGGAAAGAAACCTTGATGTGCAGGAGAAATAGCCATCAGTTGCCTCTTGTGTGACCCCAAGTGGGGACCTGGCCCACACCCCAGGCATGTGCCCTGACTAGGAATTGAACCAGTGGACTTTCAGTTCATAGGCCAGTTCTCAACCCACTGAGCCACACCAGCCAGGGCCAAATGTTAAAGATTTTTTGATATGAATATCTACTGTGTTTTAATTTTATTTCAGTACTTTCACTGTATATTAAGCAGAACTAATTGTGACACCTGATTAAGTGTTATAAAGATCAATTAAAGAACAGTATCCTTGTTTAGAAAAAGTCAGTGCTTGATACATTCAGGGGGTCAAGGACAGCCTATGAATCAGGGATCGTAGCCTCATGGTTTACTGATGTGTTTTGGCACACAAGTATTCAAAAAACTTGAATAACCATAGTTAAAATCATGAACTTTCACCTCATAATCAAGATTTTTGGATTTCGGGGAAAAATTACACAATGCACAAATGCTGATTCTTATTCCTGAATGGCAGCATTCCCAGGACGGGCACTCTCTGCACTTCACGGTTCCCGTTACCCTTTAGGACCTAATACCTGCACGCCCAATATAGGAGCCACTGCCACCTGTGGCTTTGAGTACTCGGAATGTAGCCAGTCCAGGCTGGGATAGGTGGTGTTTTATTTAATGTGGATACTAGGATGTTTGAGTTGAATTATGTGGCTCTCATTTTATTTCTATTGGACAGTGTTGCCTTATACTAAGGCTGTTTAATTCATTTAAATTTTTTGCCTGGCTTCTGTGGACACTGGAGCTTTTAATATTTGTTTTTTTTATTTATTTTTAAAGAGAGGGAAAAGAGGGAGAAAGAGAGGAAGAGAAACATGGATGTGTGAGAGAAACATCGATTGGCTGCCTCTTGCAGGCTCCCAACTGGGGACCTGGCCCCCAACCAGGTGCCCTAATTGGGAATCTAACTGGCAACTTTTTGGTTCTCAGGCTGGTGCTCAGTCCCCTGAGCCACATCTGCCAGGGGGACACTGGAGCTTTTAAATGGCAGCTTTTAGTTTAAAATAGTGGACTTATGTGTCGATGTTAAAATATTAAAAAAATAAGAACATGGCTGTCTTGCAGATTGTTGGCTCATCATAGATCTCTGATGGTAGTGATAGTACCTCCTGTTTTGCCCCAGCAGAGTGAGGGTGAGAAATTGCACAGGTATTTGAATCTCTAAAGTAGAGCTGACTTAGAATCTTGATTTTGAACACTGAACTTCAAATATTTTTGAATTTTTTTATCGTACTTTACATACAGTGAACTATTTATGTATTATGTATTCTGTTCAGGTTGCTATGACAGTTCATATCAAGACACAGATCATTTCTGTCATCTCAGAAGTTCCTTCCTGCACCTTCACAAGCAGTCCTCTCCCGAAGCCACTGCTCATTGAATTTCTACCACCATCCTTTAGTTCAGCTCTGCTTGTAAAGTTGACTCTGATTCTATGTCTTTTTTGAAGTTTACCATGACTCATATAGACTCTCCTAAGAAGAGCATTAATTTCATAGGATAGTTCATTTAATTTTTAGCAAATATTCTCAGATGAGATTTCATTATTATATTGGAACTCTGTGTGTGTGTGTGTGTGTGTGTGTGTGTGTTTATCAAGGTGCTGTATTCTGAGACAGCTTTTGTTTTACTTTTTTTGTGCACACATGTCCATTTCTATTTCCGTCTCTGGATCTTACTGGCCCTGGTTTAACTTTGACACCGTTTGCTGCTCCTTCAGTAGAAATTAAGCAGTCCGTTGTGAAATCCTCTATGGTGAAGTAATCCTGAAATGCGCTGCAGGCTGGTGTCAGTGACTTGGGGTTCTGCTTATTACTTAGATACTGTCTGGAGATCTACCAAGATCTGCTCCCAGGGCCTGCCTGAGGCAGCTTTTAAAGGGCCACGATTGTGACTTCTTCACTCCTGTCTTACAGGCCAAACTTCCCGATTTGCAGCCATTCCCTTCTCCAGATGGCGACACTGTGACCCAACATGAGGAGCTGGTGTGGATGCCTGGAGTCAATGACTGCGACCTCCTTATGTACTTGAGGGCAGCAAGGTAACAGGAATTCATCCTATCCTGCTTTCTGGATCCAGCCATCTGAATTGATTACTAGGCAGGAAACTTCCTCCTGTCCCCTGAAATTTTATTTATATATTGAACGTTCTCTGTCTTTAGTTTTGTTACACCCTTTGTAATCAGAGCCCTGATTCTCAACAGAGAAAAAAATAGTTTTACCATAGTAAACTAACTTTTTTCTACTTAATGTTTGTTCCACACCAGATTTTAGAACTCTTTAGAGGAACACATCTAAAGCCATATATACAATTGTCAGCACTTCTCAATGCATTCAGTAATTGTCATTCAGTGCATTTTTAAAAATCCCATTACAGATTTCTCAACTTTAGTGATGCCAGGCCTAGGCGTGAAATTTTTGTGGCTCGTGTCTATATGAACTTACCTACAAATGCTTAAACTACACAGGAGAAGCTTAAAATCTCCCCTGACAGTCCTAGTGCTGGCAAAGCAGAGCGCCCACCTTTGTCTGCAGTGATTTCTTGAATTCACTGCAGCATCAACTGTGTGTAGCAAAAATGCTAACCCAGGGCCAGGTGACTGAATTTTAGCTCTGGCTGCTTTGTAGTCATCAGTGCTGTGCATGGCAGCAAACAGTAGAGCTCAGGGTTGCTGCAGCAGAGGGAATGACCCCTAAGACTTCATTTTAACTTTTAATTTACCTAAAGGTACTTGATGTGTAGCGTGAAAGGAATTAAATAAAGTGTCAGAGGACTTAATTTCGTATGTTTTCTGGGGAATTTTTCCAAAAGATTGTAATCTAGCCAATTGTTGTAGCAAATAGTTTTAGATTATTCATGCCCTGAAAATTAAAATCTGAATACTAATAAAGCATGGGAAGAACAACACAAAGGGACATGAATAAAAGGAACATTTTTCTTTTTGAGTGAGTGCAGGGTGAATTGTACAGGAACTTAAATAATTTTTCTTTTCAAAACAAGAGCAAAAGTAGGACTAAGAGCTCTGGCTGACCATGCATGTAGTAATGGAATATGGTCAGGGCTGAAAATTACTCTGATAATTGAGGGTTACACTTTTCTGTACTGATGTTTTTCCTTCCTGTCTTCCAAGGAGCATGGCGGCTTTTGCAGGCATGTGTGATGGAGGCTCCACAGAGGATGGCTGTGTTGCAGCATCTCGGGATGACACCACTCTCAACGCACTGAACACAGTGAGTCTTTTGAAGCCGCCTGGGGTGGGAAGAAAGTTTTTTTTCCCTTGGCTAACTGACCATAGGGAATACATGAGCATGGAACATGGAAGAACCTGGAATCTTAGGAGTGAGTACTGTGGTGTGGTGCTGGGACTGAAAGATGAGTTGTGGCCTTGCCATCAGGACTGCAGGCTATTGATGGGATGGCTCCAGGTTTATCTCTTCTAAAGTGCACCTGAGTTCCAGGACTGTGGTGAGCTCAAAGGAGAGCCTCAGGCTAGTAGTGGTCGGTCTTTACTGAGCTCTCACAAAGCTGAATATTGTGCATAGATGATTGTACATATCCTTACAACACCCCTCTGTGAAGTATTGTAGGCATGAGGGAATAGTTTAGAAGGGTTAAGCTGTGATCCACAGTTGTACATTCAAGATTTGAGTCCTGGGGCCATGCTATTTTGTGGCCAGCAATGCTGCCTCTGTGTTTGAGAACCTGTATTCAGAGTACATGGAAGTACTGGAGAATGTAGACTCCTTGGAACACATTTGTTTTTACAGATTTGACTTTGGAACCATGTAAATGTTTCACATGATTAATAAAACAAAACTAAGTTTTAAGAACACCAGCCCATAGAAAACCTGAAGTAAATGTAACCAGTGAGCCTAAAGGCACTGAATCAAATGCGAGACATCCCACTGTGATGATGACTCATCTTATCTAACCTTGGCCCCTACGGAGCTCACTTCTGCAAACAGAAGTGGTCATTCAGATCAGTTTACTGGTTGTATACTTTCTGACTTTAGATTATATCCTTATAGGGTTGTTTAGGAATCTTAATGTATGTTTAAAGTTTCTTGAAGTAAGTCTTCTCTCTGTGGTTACTAATGGGAAATCATTAAATCTGAAGAAGTAGTAATGAATTTTTATTGGTTTTTGATATATTAAAAGGAGTATAGATCACCCGTGGCAAACACCAGGCCCACAGGCCAAATCTGGCCCTCCACCTTATTTTATCTGGCTCCGAAACCTTGTTTCTACCCGGTGGCAGTGCCGAGCTCCTTGCCCCTAGTTAAGGACTAGTTACATTTATGCAGTCCTAAATTACATTTGGCCCTTTGAAGGCAACCATGAGGCTGGCGTGGCCCCTGGTGAAAATTAGTTTGACACCCTTGGTGTAGATGGTTATGTGTATATTTACATAGGATATGGAGCATGAGGCTGAGCAACTCTCCTGGTGCTGAACTAAATGTAATGCAAACACCTTTGGAAGGGACTTACATGAGCTCATCTGTTCCAGTTTCTAAATAGATAAAAATCGAGGCTCAGAAAGGCCAGATGACTTGTTGAACCCAGAATGTTCATAATGGACAGTAAAAAATAACCCAGTTTCCCAATTTAGGGATCTTTGTATTGTACAGATTGCTTTGAAGGCAACACACGGGTATCTGAATATACAATATATGATATTTGGTTTTCATTCCTGATCTAACTGTGTTTGGGGGGTATTACATAACATTATCGTAGTTTGTTTTATGTTGGAGGTTGAGTGATCTTGCTGGGGATACACCATGTTCTAAATAACTGGATGTTTTGTTTTTTACATTCTCAAATATATATATTTGTTTACCTTCTCACCTATTTGATACTTAAGGTTTTTATTTTTATAAGGAATTTTTATTCTGAATATATAAAGCCAGAAGGAGCCTTCAACATTATTTTACAAATAAGGAAATTAGACTCAGAGATTGGTGATACCACGACAGTGTTATGGTGGACATAGGTGTGAATGTCTGTGAATTCACAGTACCTTCAATATTGTGTGTATGTTCAAAGTAACTCTTGGATATGAGCTTGTTTTCTGTTGAATTTTTTGTATAAAACCTTTATGAAAAAATGCTTCTTTCATGATTGTGCTGATCAGTTGAATTCTACATAATGAAGATGTTACCATTTTTAATTAAATGTATTTTTGGCACTTCATGAATTAATTGGATTGATTTCCTTTCTATTCCAAACCCTCTGCAGTTTCTGTAAGGACATTCTTCTACTCAGAAATAATTTGAGCTATTTTTGCCTACGGTCTTTTGTATCAAGTTTCTTCTGAAGTTTTCTTAAGTACTGGCAGAAGGTTTTGGTTTTATGAGTTTTTATCTCTATGAGGCTGCCTTCCTATCTTTTGACATTCTTTGTGTCACAGAAAGCCCCAGATGGCTCAGGTGCCTTGGGTTGTGCCAGCCAAATGCATTTAGCCACCAAAGGACAGAGTTTGGTACTCCTTTTGTGATGAATGGAGAAATTTAGTGGCTTGTATTTCATTTCTGTCCCGTCTCACAGAGTTTTAGTTATGGGCACTTCTTCAAAGAAAAATGAAGCGAGTGGGAAAATCTTGTGAGAAGTTTAATGATTGTTTCGACTTTCTTGTAGTAAACAATTGCAAGTTTTTAACTGTGTTAAGTAATACATTAAAAAGATAAATAATGCATTATCATACGAGAAGTATTTATTGTTTTTAGAGCATAGCAGAGAGTAAAAACAAGGTTAGGCATTTATCAATTTAGAATAAACCTGTATCTGTTTCCTCTTCCCTAGGACAACATAGAAATTTTAAATGCATGAAAACTTCAGTTATGGCCACATTAGAGTTTAGGGATTCTTTTTATATTGGTACAAGTTCTTTGATATAGGTATTATGAATATTTTGTCCCATATTATGACTTTTTTTGTAATGGTGTCTTTCAAAAAGTAAAATATTTAATTTTGCTTAAGTCCAGTGTATTCTTTTTCTTCTATAAAAGTATCTTTGATCACCTCATGATTACAAAGATTATTTCTGTGCTTCTTCTTTGTTGTTGTTCAATTAGAGTTGTCCTGTTTTTCCCCCATTACTCTCACCTGCCCCCCCCATTGTCTTTGTCCATGGGTCCTTTATACATGTTTTTTGACTTGACCGTTCCCCTATTTCCCCCCATTATGCCCCTCCCCTCTGATTACTGTCAGTTTGTTCTGTATTTTCATGTCTATGGTTGTATTTTATTTTGGTCGCTTGTTTGTTTTGTCGATTATTTCCACTTATAGGTGAGATCATATGGTATTTGTCTTTGACCACTTCCCTTATTTCACTTAGCAAAATATTCTCCAGTTCCATCCATGCTGTTATGAAGCGTAGGAGTTCCTTCTCTCTTTCTGCTATGTAGTATTCATGTGTAAATGTACCAGTTTGTGGGTGTGTGTGTGGTAGAATGCCTACATTTATTTTTTTTAAGTATATTTTATTATTATGCTATTACAGTTGTCCCATTTTTCCCCCCTTTATTCCCTTCTGCCCTGCACATGGCCTCCCACCAGCATCCCCCCACCACTTTAGTTCAAGTCCATGGGTCATTCATATAAGTTCTTTGGCTTCTCCATTTCCTGTACTGTTCTTACCCTCCCCCTGTATATTTTGTACCTACCATTTATGCTTTTCATGCCCTGTACTTTTCCCCCAACTCTCCCTACTTTTCTTCCCTGCTGATAACCTTCCATGTGATCTCCATTTCTGTGATTCTCTTCCCGTTCTAGTTGTTTGCTTAGTTTTTTTGGTTTTTGTGGGTTTTTTTTATATTCAGTTGTTGATAGTTGTGAGTTTGTTGTCATTTTACTGTGCAGTTTTGATCTTTTTATTAGATAAATCCCTTTAACGCTTCATATAATAAGGGCTTGGTGATGATGAACTCCTTTAAACTTGACCTTATCTGGGAAGCACTTTATCTGCCCTTCCATTCCAAATGATAGCTTTGCCGGATAGAGTAATCTTGGATATAGGTCCTTGTCTTTCATGACTTTGAATACTTCTTTCCAGCCCCTTCTTGCCTTTGAGGTTTCTTTTGAGAAATCAGCTGATAATCTTATGGGAATTCCTTTGTAGGTAACTGTCTCCTTTCCTCCTGCTGCTTTTAAGATTCTCTATTTTTCATCTTGGGTAATGTAATTATGATGCGCCTTGGTGTGTGCTTCCTTGGATTCAACTTCTTTGAGACTCTGCAGTTCCTGGACTTCCTGGAAGTCTATTTCCTTTGCCAGATTAGGGAAGTTCTCCATTATTTTTTTCAAATAAGTTTTCAATTTCTTGCTGTTCCTGTTCTCCTTCTGGCATCTCTATGATTCAGATGTTGGAATGTTTACAGTTGTCCGGAGGTTCCTAAGCCTCTCCTTATTTTTTTAAATTCTTGTTTCTTTGTTCTGTTCTTATTGAATGTTTATTTTTTCCTGCTCCAAATCATTGGTTTGAGTCCTGGTTTCCTTCCTTTCACTGTTGGTTCCCTGTACATTTTTCTTTATTTCACTTCGTACAGGCTTCACTTTTTTCTCTATTTTGTGACCATACTCAACCGTTTCTGTGCATATCCAGATTACCAGCATTTTGAACTCTGCATCTAATAGATTGGCTATGTCTTCATCGCTTAGTTATTTTTCTGGAGTTTTGATCTGTTCTTTCATTTGGACCATATTTCTTTGTCTCAGTGCACCTGTTATGTTGTAAGAAGCAGAGACTTAGGTATTCACCAGGGCGGGGGGGACCCACGTGGCTGTGTTGTAGCGCTGTATGTGGAGGAGAGGTCAGAGAGGGAACAATGCCACATGCTTGGCTCTTGGCAGGCTTTCCGTCATTTCCCCCGCTACCCACAAGCAAATTGGGCCCTTCTGGTGCTGATTCCCAGGTGGGTGGGTTTGTGTACATTCTAGCATCCCATGGGCCCCTCCAGTGGACTCTCCTGTGAGAGTCGGACTTTCTCCCGCCACCACCAGGCAAAGTGTATTTACCTACAACTCCATTCTTTGCCAGAAGTCCTAGAAATCTAAATGTACCGGGTTTTTTTTTTCTGCTTATTTACTGATGGGCACTTAAGCTGTTTCCAGCATTTGGCTATTGTAAATATCACTACTGTGAACATTGGGATGCATAGGTTCTTTGAATTAGTGTTTCAGGATTCTTAGGGTATAATCCCAGCAGTAGAATTGCTGGGTAAAAAGGCAGTTC